ACCCCAAAAGACAGGGCCGAGGACACTGGCCCCCTTGGCTTCCCCTTATGGATATGCTGGTCCAATTCCTTTCCCGCCTCCAGCAGTGCTCACCTGTCCCATAGGCACCTTGGGGTGAATGGCAGAGTCTGGTCTGTTGGGCTGTCCAGGGCTGCGGCCTCTGCCCTGGAATTCTGGTGGTATTACCAGAGACAGTCCAGGTGCCGTCATTTACTTTTATACAAATAAAAGTAACAATCTCTTGTCTCAATGGGCACAACAGACTTTTAACTGTGATCAGAGACACTGCTCACATGAACAGCTATGCCAACCTGAGCACCCGAGCTCCTTCAAGGCCAGCCGGCACACGGCGTCTCAATCCACAGGGCAGAGTTATGCTGGGGCTTTCCTCTCCCTGTTCCTAAGCAAGTGCCAACCTCTGGCTGATCCTATCTCCTCAGAATCTCGTCAAGCCATTGCTCATACCATCTGCATGGCAGTGGTCTCAGTGGGCCCCTCCTCACCTTCTAGCCGCGCTTTGAAGCAAAGCCTTCCTGTCTCCCAACGCCAGCTTTTCCCCCTTTAATTAATCCTCTAGGACACTGTTGAAGAGGTTTTTCTAAATTACAAGTGCGACCATCCTGTCACTGTTATGTGTTCTGTAAACCTGCCTCCTACCAAATGGGGGAGAGGGTATGTCCTTTGAAGGAGTCAGAGGATTCTGAAGAGTCCGCTACCCTAAAATGCTTCAGGGTTACCTCCGCACACTGGAATTCCTCCTTTGAGAAGCGCAGACATGCTACACGGCTTTACTGCCCTGCCCTCAGTGCTCTGCCCCCCAGCTCTGATCTAGATTCCCCTCACTTTTTCGTTATTGACACATATTAATTGCAGTGGGGTACAGTACACACAGATCAAATCCTCACATGCGCCCCTCGCAATCTCTAGTTGCCATTGTTGTACCATGGGGGCAACTGTTTGAGCTTCCACGTACCACAGAACATGTGGTACCCGATTCTCTGTGCCTGGCTTACTTCACTTAACGTAATGATCTCCAGTTCCATCCATTCTGCTGCAATAAAGCAGATTTCCTCCTGCTTTACAGCTGACAGTTCTCTCGCATGTGTACCACACCGCATTTATCCATGCAGCTGCTGCTGGGCACCACACCTTAGCTACCGCGAGTGGAGCAGCATAAACCTAGGTGTGCAGCTACCTCTATTACAGCACGCTGACTTCGTCTCCTCTGGACACACGCCCAGGAGTGGGAGGGCTGGATTGCGGGGTAGTTCTGTTTCCAGGTTTCTGAGGAACCGCCATACTGCTCTCCATAGGGCTACACTGATTTATATTCTCACGACAACCTATGAGGGTTTCTCTTTCTCCACATCTTCACCAACATTTGCTGTTTTTTGTTTTTCTGCTAACACCCATCTGACTTCCCTCTTCAGGCTGCATGTGATACTACCTGCCCTTGCAGCCTTCCCTGGGGACCCCACGACTGACTACTCAGCCTCGTCTCTGACTCACAGATAGCTTTTAAAGCCTTAATTTTATATTAGGATTCTTTATTTGTAAGTCTGTATCTCCAATTGGATATTAAACTTTCTATAGTAGGGACTTAGGGTCTTTTTATGTATTTTTGTCATGTAACACAGTGCCTGGTATAGGAAGGTAATTAATAAATACCAATTCACATGTGCATTACTGCTCTAAATCAGACAAACAGAATCTTAAAGTATGGCACACAGCTCCAAATAGGCTCTGCAGAAAGCACACATCCCACTATTCGAAGCTGCCCAAAAAAGGTTGCTCCTTAATTATTCATGCTGACAGAGGGAGACAGAGATAGGTCCTAAAAACCTGTGGGCCCTGCAGACACCTTTGTACATGGTGTTTGATACACGTTTCTGAATGTCTGGCTCTAAACTTTAGATTGACTTTGCTGACGAACTTTGTTGAAGCTAATAATAAAACGAAACCCTGGGCCAATACACCAGCTGTGTCCGTGGCGGCAAGTAGTCAGCAGATGGAGAATGCGGGATTCATCACGGATAATCCATGCAGTGGGCAGTTTGCACCTAGTTATGGATTCCTCTGGAAGCCCAGAGATGGAAGCAAGGGATAGTCAGCCAGGCTTCCTCGCTGGTACACTATAAATCCTAGAGAAGACAAACAGCTGCCAGCAGCCTACGTTTTTGTTAGTTTCCCTGGCAAACAGGCTCAGAGGACAGAAGTGACTGGAAGTCAAACAAAAACAGAGTGGGGTTATGAGGACTGTAAGTCACCCCCTCTGCTGGATGGAGTAGCATCAAACTTATTCCAGCCAGTCTCCGAAGCTAGCATGAAGCAAGGAAGGCAGAACAAGGGGAAAGACTGAGGTCGAAGGTCAGACTACCTTTCTAACAAACAGAATGAAAGGCAGGTCCTGGAGGACTCCGTTCTGGAGAACACCTAGTGCACAGGGTGGGGCTCTAGCCATGTGTTCTAGAGGTCAGGACTGGGGCCCTTTAGGCTCCCTGAGGAAGTATTACACACGCCTGGTGCCTTCTGAAGCCTTCCAAGCCAACTTCCCAGCTATACCTCGAAGCCACTGATGCACTGCAGTCAGGCAATGAAGAAACTGGAGGCAATATGCCTTAAAGATGACACCAGAAGGCCACTGACACTGAGCTTGCTGGGTGGCTCACAGCCTGAATGGACCGAATTCTGGCCTCCCTTCTGTCAGGAGGTTAGTGCTTGCCTGCGTGCTTCGCAATGTTATCAGAAAGACTAAATGGGAAGATGGAAGAATTTAAAGTGCTTTCGTGTATGTGTGTGCAACAGAGAAACAGGCTTTACAGAACGCTGCCAGCTGCAGTGAAGACACGACAGCAGGGTCCCGAATGAGCTTTGCTTTCCCTGCCTATGTTTTCCCACTGTAAACTCACTCCCCGCTGGCAGTGTCAGGAAGGAAGTGCAGGAACAGTATCCCATCTGGGACTGGGTGACTAGGGGACTATACGACTGAAGAAGGACTCCATCGGAGATAGTGGGTATATTGAAAAATTTATTTCCAAGTCCTTGAAACTACACCTCTATGTGGTCAACCATGAAACTTGTACCAAAGACTACAGGATCCAAAAGGCCTCTCCCCCTTTCCCCTCGGCTCCGTGTGAACTGGCGGCCTGGCTCATTCTCAGTCCCCAGGTAGTTACCCTGACCCTGCCTTTCTGTCTCAGCCCAGAGTGAGGGCAGGGAGGTGGTGGGCAAGGAGGGTGAGGTAATTAAAGTGGCCACCCATGCAGAAGAAAATGGAGTCTGCAGGAGGGGACAGGGCAGGCAAAGGGTGCAAAGTCCTTGGGAAGAGAGGCAGACACAAAGCAGGGGAAAAGGCAGGCCTTCAGTGGTTGTCCAGACAACCAGGGCCCCTATTGTACTTGGTGGCTCTGCCTCTGGGGAGACCTCTGGGCTCCATGGATGGTCCAGGCCAGGAGAGGAGCTGGAGGGGAGGCCACGGTGGGCAGCGGTGCCGAGTGCGAGGTGGGGGAAGGATGGCTATGCGGTCTCGGGAGGAGCTGACCTCCAGACTTCTGTGGAAATGAGCAGTAACACAGTGTGCTCAGGCATCACTTGGAAGAAGATTATCTAGGACTGTATTTAAATAAGCAGACACAGTGGGCGTCCACACTATGCTGGGAAAATGGTTAGAGGAGGCTAGGAAAGACCAGCCTTGAGAACACATGAATAAGACAAGTAGATGTCAGAAATAAACAGGCAGGGGAAACACAGAGGTGGGGGCTAGAAGAGAAGGAAAAGCGACCCAAATGAACGGAAGAACCACTTGTGAGGAAGAGTTATTGGAAGATCCTGTTTCTGGTTTCCTGTCAGAGGCTGACCTCGCAGCCTTCCCGGTGGAGTAGAAGGCTCTCTATCCTGACAATAAGGGCACAGAGGCAGAGTGCTGCCACACCAGTCTGCTCCAACTGGGGCCTTGGGGATACCGGCTGTTGACAGAAAATATGGGGAAGCAGTATCTCAAATTGAAAAAGACAAAAAGGATCCAGAGGAAGAGGAAGAAGTTGTTGGAAGCCATTTACATACACAGTGACCTTCCTCCCCAAATCCGCTGGTGCTAGCATTCCCTGAAAGGTGGGCAACAGTGTATCCCCCTGTTCTCCGTGGTCTCCTCCTACTCCAGTACCAAAGAAGCCTCCTTCACCACTGGTACCCGGTAAGAAGGTGCTGGAACAGCACCTTCTATCACAGCAGGCCCTGCGTTCAGTGCCCAGCATAACCTTCCCAAGAAAGAAAGAAAAAGGTCTACACTAAGTGTTAAACTGTGGCTGTGTCCCTAAAACCAAGTTATAGGAAAGGGCCAAGCACTCTGCATTTACAGCCGAGAGCAACAGGAAATGCCCTGGATGTAGGGGCTGACATGATTCTAACATTAGTACAACCGGAAATGTTACTTCCACTTCAGTCATTTCTACTTCATTCACAGTCTCAAGCTTTAGGACCCCAAAGGCCCGGCACAGGACTAGAGAGCCCACAGACAGCACCAACCAAACCCTTTCATCTAGGTGTCCAGCTGGTCTCCTGGCCATCACAGCCCTCTGTGTACTGAATTCCTAAGGGACAGAGGTGGGGGTGTTTACTTAATGGGCAGCTGCTGGCAGCACACAGTGCTCGGAAATAAGAATGCACTACAGTCCCCTGAGAAAGCGGGCACAAGGGTGGAAGATGAAACAAACTTGGCGTGTCAGAGTCACTAGCGCTATGGACTGGGTGGATCTGAGGCCTCTGATTCAGAGCAAGACACAGAACTGCCTGGATTCTATCACTGTCTTGGCAAGGGAGCTGTAATTCCCAGACAAGTTCCCCTCATAGAAGGCCAGCAAAGGGTATTGTTTAACCTGCGGCGCCACCTGGTGCCTAGAGGAGGAATTACTGTACTTAGGCTTCCCATGGAGTAACCTGGTGTCCTTCCTGTGACATATTTGCAACAACAAAATAACAGACAGGCTGGCTAATACTCAAAATATGTCCAAAGGTTGCTTTTTATTTAAAAAGTGACATAATGCTCTCTTACTCTTTTAAGTATGTTGTGTTGCCTGGAATATCCTTCAGCCTAAATCAGTTTAAAGGATACCTGTCGTAAGCGCTGGCTCTAAATACATACCTTACTCTATAAATACTCCCCGATATTTACTGCCTAACCATCTTTCATCCCTCAGCTCCACGAGTGAGGCAAAGAAGACCGAGAGGAGGCTGAGCGGCAAAGGCAGACTGAGTAACTTATCCAGGTCACCGAGAAAGTGCATCTTGCAGGATTCGGATTTGGATCTGACCTCAAGGCTCAAGGAGTCTTGCTGCCCCATGGGAAGGCAGTGGTCTGAAGGGTGTAGCAGCAGGACAGCTTGCAAAGAGGGCAAGCTCAGCGGAGCTGGGGTGCTTCAGGAGAAGGTGTCAGGAGAAACCTCGTGCTTAGGTCCAACCACGGCTCTGGGAACTGGAGCTGGGCAGATGATCAGATGGGAGATGCTCTGTAGGAAAGGGACATGGGGTTCTGATTCCATTTGTGCTGCTCGTCCCTCAGAACTGTTGAGGAACCCGAGGTTCTCCTGAAATAAACACAGGGCTGACTCAAGTGGAATGGCATGTGAACTTAAACACTTGTTCAACGGGAACAAACTCATCAAGCCCGCGGGCAGTGTTTACGGTGGTGAGTAAAACATAGTCCCTGCCCTCTGGAGTATTACGTAGTGGTCTAAAGCTGTCGCCAAAAGCTCTCAGGTTCCTATTCGTAGTTACACATAGGCAAGAGACAGTGATAACATGACTCAGGGGGACAAAGACTCTGGTGTTTCAGGGTCATGGCAGCTTCTTAGGAGCCCTTCCAGTGAGCAATGGTGCACTCCTTGAGCGCAGAAGAATCCCAGAGTGCAAGCACACAATGCACAGGATGGGGTGGTCAGCCACACCCAGCTGATACCACCCTGAGACCCACTCAAGTGCAGACTGTCAGCACGGGACAGGACAGGCAAGGCGGCTTCACTCTAGGAAGCAGCACAATGACACTCAGAAGTCAGGCAAGGACTGGAAGAAGAGGACATGAGCCCTCTGGGGCTCTCTCAGGCCTGGCCTATGAGGGTCAAGAGCTTCTTCTGGTATGGCCTATTGGCAGAGGCGTGGGACAAGCAGTGGTCCTTCTCCCTAAGAGACACAATGCAATCCGGGCAGGCATTGCGCTAAAGAAATTCACTTCAGCACCTCTAAAAACAGCCCCAGTCACTGATTACTTCCATGCTGGGAAATAACCTGACACAAAATACCTCAGGACTGAGTTCTAGAGCGATTATCTGGGGGTCCTCTCTAACTGTGCATTTTTCTGGGAAGTTGTGCACAGGTGTAAGAGACAATGGACTCCAGACCGGGTACCTGTGAACCCCCATTCACATCAGGACTAGGACATGAGATGCAGGTAGCTACGGGACACTAGGCAGTCTTCAGCCGGCTACTTAGGAATAAATCAGAATACGCATTTGGAAATGTGTTTCTACACTGCCAGCAGACGCATGTGCCTGGTGGAAACTGAGGGACTGGAAAGGAATAAAGCTCGGGGAGCTTGAAACAAGGCCAATTCTAGGGCCCCTGCTTTGTGAGAAAGTCTGCGTAGGGCAGGCCACTGCAATAGAAAGTTTCTTCACCTGCATATAATTTTTCTCTCTCTTAAAATGTGGCAACATAGGGCTCTTGCTAACTTACAGACCGCACATCATTTCCCCAAAAATACGTAACTTCCTGCCAGGCACCGTCAGTATGGGGCATGTCGGTTCCTTTCCGACGTCATTGCTTGTGCCCTGTGGTAGCTGCCTGCAGTTTCCCTTAAGAAACACCAGATTTGTGAAGATCCCTCATCCATGTGCCACTCACACATGCCCACTGAGAAAGACCCGCGGGAGTTGACCCTGGTGAACCCCTGTGATTCTGGAGTGACCCAGAGGGGATCACAGAAGCATGCGAGTTCATGGCCATTTTTAACTCTCCTTAGGCGAGACAGACACCCTGCCTTGATGGTCTCAACACTCAATGGCCCCAGACACTGCCACAACCTCCCCCTCACTGACCTTGCCTGGGAGACGGTTTGCAGACAGACAGTTTTTCTAAGAAAATGACCCCGCAGCCTGGCTTAGGGTACAGAACTCGCCGTTTAATTTTTTTCCTGGGTGCACTGCTTATTGGCCTCCAGACACCTGCATGTTTTCTTGCTTTGTGAAAATTTCCTGACATTACATATTTTTTACTCCTCTGCCTACAGATTATAGAACCTTTTCCTTTTCCCCTACTTTCTGCCAAGCAATTCTACGCCACGTGCCCCAGCACATACGCACAGAAGCACATGTGCACACACACACACACTTGCACTCACTCTTTAACTAAGAAATCTTGGTGACAATGCCAGGAATGTGTCTACTGCCCTTTGACAGGGGTCCGATGCCACCCTCTGGGCCACGGGGAGGGCAGGGCATGGCCGTGGCATTCTCATACTCTACTACTGGCCTGGCTCCTATTTTTATGTGGCCTCACTCTGGGCATCCAGGCAGCTGGTCCAGCTTCTTCTCATTCCTCCACTCTAAATCAGACTCCAAAATAACCCCACCTCTTACCTTGGCTGCATCCTTCTGACCCAAACCTTCTATCATCAATGGAGCATAATACATCTCTCCTCCTTCCCTGCAACCCAGACTAGCTCAGAGCAGTTTCCCTAACCCTGACTGTGAGGCTTGCAGGGATACTGTCAAGTTTTCTGTTTTCAGATGTGAGCAGTTTGCACAAGCTAGATTCCCTCCTGAGCTCACACTGCTACACTAACTCCCTTTCCCCTCCCAAATAAGGAGGTCTCCATGTTACATAATGGTATGTTCCCAGCACAGAAGTTGACACACGAGGTTGGGCACGCATGCGTGCAGGACTTGCCTTTGACTTAACAATGCCTTTTTTGGGCATCTAACTTCTCATGTGCTCCCCTCCTCAACTCCTTCCACACCATGAACAGTCATGAGAGATTTATAAGCCTGGCTTAGATCAGAAGCCTCCGACCTTAGCTGAGAAAAGGGGGTCACGAAGTTGAATTTATTTCTCCCTCTCCACCCCTGCAGACTGGAGACAGCATGCCTGTAACCTGGCAGAGGTCCTCAGAGTCCAAGGCAGTTATGTACACAGGTCTTTTAAGGAAACAGAGCGAGTAAAAGAAACTGGAAGCAGAAGAAATAAATGCCTTCCTGGAGAAATAATGCTGGAGGTTGGAAAATAAGGGCATTTGCAGGAGGTGGTGCTCCTAATTCTAGGTGGCTGAATCATTCCTGATGCCCAGACCACATTGTGTTCAGAATAACTAGAGAAATGGCTGCAGCCACCTGTGGAACCAGCACCCATGACCTTGCTACATAAAACACAGAACTCAAAGGCAGAAAGTCTAAGTGCCCATCAAAGGATGTGGCTCAGGTCCCTGCAGTTTCAGAGAGAACAAACATGCGGCCTCTCAAGCAGCTGTCACAAAGGCATGGGGACACTGGACCTCATTTCGTACCCACCCAGGTGGAGGGGCAGGGGGTGCAGCAGGGAGGGTACCACTGCTCCTATCAAGTTCCCGGCTTATTTGCTTACTACAGCAAACAAAGTCAAACACTGGCACTGCATAAACTGTACCTTAAAAATAAAAATCGCAGGCTGCCCAGGGATAGAATGTAGCTGACTTTTGGGGGTGGCAGTGCCTTTTTTGCTATGTCAGTGTGTAGAGATGGGGATGCAACCTGGATTCTAAATATCTGGTAGTCTCTTCCTGGGGAAAGTCTGCTGCTCTGAACCGAAGAGTTTTCAGTTAGCTTTTATCCCTCCAAACTACTGGGCACAGGGCTGAGCCTTCAAAGTTGGAGAATCATCAGAGCCAAAGTGAGAGAAATCTGGGTTCAGATTCTACATGTACTGTAATATTTAGGAGCTCTGTAATCAGGATGTAAAACTCTCAATTCTTTGAAAGCTTTAGCTTCCTCACATGGTAAGTGGGGAATCACAATGCCTCTTCCTCGGGCTTTGCAAGTGATTATAGATGCTACAATGTGCCTAACATGTGCATGAAGTAATCTCCACAAACCCTGTCTTTGCGTGGCCTAGACATGTTGTCTTCATACGTAAGACTAAGCTACAGAATCATCTCGACAGTCCTTATAAAGCCAAGCCGTCACGTCTAGAAGGTCCATCCTGAGTAGCTCAGACAGGCACACAAGAAACAGTGGCAGCAGGCAGTCGGCGACTGGTAGAGGGTGGAACGTCCTGAAGACTAAAAACCGAGTTCATCTGGAGCCAATAGTAGAGGAAGAAGAGACCAAACACACATTTCAGTCTTCCTTTCCTTCACTGAAGAGGAAATTTTTCTGAAGACCCAACATTTACTGGAAACCTTGTAATACATCTAAAGAAAAACAGTATTACTGATTCTATGTTCAGATGAGGAAACCCAAGCTCAGAGAATTTAAATACAGAACAGCCATCTACAGTGGTAGTTGTACCTTGGGCTTTGGAACACCTGGGCTTGAACGCTGGCCCCATCACTAGTTGGCCTGTGACCACGGGTAAGGTCCTAGATTTAGTGTTCATCTTCATTAGATTGTAAGATACATGTAAGCAGGAACCATGTCTGCTTTGTTCAGCACTAACCGGTCCTCAGGAAAATTTCTTTCAATGAATAAAATGGTAAGGCCAAAAGAAATCTTCAACTGGATAGAGAGATAAGTACTTCCAGACAAAGTATGACGAATGCCATGAAACAGCTTGAACGAATTTCTACCACCAAGTTAAAAGGCAGCTCAGACCAGGGCCCAAGTGCTTCTTTCCATCCCACTCACCCTTCACTGAGCTACTGCAGCACGACGGGCAGTTTCCCAGCCCACATCTGAGCCCTGAAGCTCTCGCCCACACCTACAGGGTCCACGGGGCCTGTTTCCTTTTCAGTTCACCCTCCTGCTTGGATTTCCGAAGATCCTCGCCAGGCGAGACGCAGAGGCCCTCTGAACTGACCTAGGCCCTTTAATATTCACGTTATTCAAACTGTAGATAAACCTCTCCTACCTTCTTAAAGTGGAGCTCACTCTCTCTTGAATTTCTCCTATGCTTCTATGTACCTATGGAATAATTTTGTGTTTTCTGAAATTGAGTCCTCACGCAAATGATTTTAAAGGAGAGGGAGACATCAGTGATCAATATCTGGAATCTTTCCATTTTTTAAAGCACTTGAAAGACCAGCAAAGGGAAGCTTAATAGAGGGAGAAGAGAAGTGAAGGCCAAATAAGCAACACTCATAGATGGCTGAATAAAACATAAGGGAACATATTTTCAATATAAAGATACTAAGAAAGGAAATGTTTATGCCTTTATCAAATACTTACTGACTCTCTGTCTGCCCAGGTCTTGTACAATGTGCTGAGGACACAACGCTAGTTCGGGCCCTTAAAGGAGGGCTTCTGTCACTTTGGGAATGTTCCTTCATGACTGTTTAGGGGAAGGGACAGAGCTGTCCCGAGTAGCACAGGATGGTAGGCAGCATCTTCCCACACACACTGGATGCCACTGGGAATCTCCTCTCCTGCTCCCAGCTACGACCCTGGATTCCCCAGATACTGCCTAAGTCACTAGGAAGATGCAGGTGACTGCTAGTTGAGAACCACTGGTGTGGGGAAGCAGATAATTTACACAATACCTGTGAGGCAAGAGTTAGTGCTAAAACTTTGGTAGCAAAGAAGGTTCCTTAGTTCTACGAAAGCGGGAGAGGATACCATAGAAAACTGCACAGAATAAATGACTTCTCATGATTACTGAGAAATATTTAGTACTAGGTTAAACACATGAAAATGGGGGCAATTAGGGTCCGAGTAGGAGAGCAGGAAAATGAGGAGAGAAATTTCATTCAGGCAGAGATAAGAAGATAAGCAAATGCCTCGAGGAAAGAGACCACTCAGGCAATGAATGACAGTTTGCAGGGGAGAACAGAAATAAAACTGGGGCCAGATCATGCTAGGTAAGTAGCAACAAATTTAAATATAAATAGCAAATGTATTTCTAAGCTTTTTTTGTGTTCAAGATTGAACCCAGGGCCTTATGCATGCTACACTTAAGCTCTATCACTGAACTACATCTCAGGCTCTAACTGTGTATTTAAAACACAGTGAGCCCTTTTACAAACAAAACCTTGCCTTGATCCTTGATCAAAGCGAACTGCTTTAGCTGGGTCATGGTCTTCCTGTTTCTAAGACAGGTCCTTGAAGTACCTCCATGGGACTTTAGAACCCCGAGACTGTTCTAGGCAGCACAGTGCCATTGGGAAATCTGAGTACAGAAGTAGTTTTTCAAAAAAAGCTCCCTGGTGGCAGAGCTGAGTATGAAGAAGGGGCAACAGGGAAAGCCTAATGGTACAGAGATCAGCCAGCATCTCACACATGGGCCTCACCAGGTGACTAACATACAGGGAAAAGCAGACTGCTTTGGGGTCACATAAATCCAGTTTAAAGCTTCTTGTATGTCAGCGTGACCTTGGGCACATCATTTGCTAAGCTCTGTTTTCTTATTCTGTAAAATGGGGCTGCCTACTCCACTTGATCACTATGGAAAATATGTAGCTGGGGCCAGGTACTAGGCACTGGCAGACACAAATATGTGTCTCTTTCCCTGCGTCTCTATGAGCCTTACTAATTCAATGCAACTCTGAGCATGCTGAGAGGGAACAGATTCTTCAGGGAGTTTCTACGTGGTATACAATAGATAATGGCGTGGTTCTGTAAAAAGATTTTTTGGAGCAACCTTCATGTTCTCTGGAGTGAACCACATGATATGGACATGTCAGCATTTGGCTTCTTACTGCCAGGATGTCTCATAAGGCAGAGATCAAGTAGATAAAACTTAAGCACTCCATGTGTCTCTGGTTCACAGACAGTGTCTCAGTTCTTTTTTAGTTTAGCAAAGCTGACAGCCATTCTGTGATTGGGAAGTCAGCAGTTAAAAACTTATCTGTATATAAATCTTCCAGGAGATCAAGTTGTGTTGGAATCACAAAGCTTGAATTATAAAAGCCAAGTTGTAAATCCAAACTTCTTTCTGGCTTTCACACCTTGTATCACCAAGCGCTTCTTCATTTGTGAATATTTATTCTTCTATTGGAGAAAACAACCTTTAATCTGTTTCTCTTGTCATTCCCCGTTTATTGTCACGGTGGTAAATACTGCCAGTGAAGAGTAACACTCCCTGTAACATGGTGAACGATGTGAGGCTTTGGGATAGAAGTGGGTAGAGAATTCACCCAGAGTTCAGATGAAAGCATCTGAAGCTCACAGGAAGTATCTAAGTACAGGACACAGGAAGTCTTGCAGAGCAAGATGCTGTCAAACATTAGAAAACAGGGCTATCAGTGGGAGATTTGGACATTCTCCAGGCATTGCAGCCCCTGGGACTGAGAATCTATCTTCTTGCATGGCCGCAGGTCCTTGGACCCTATGCTTCCCTTTCCTAGTGCAGGGACCCACATTCGGTCCAGCTCTGAGCATTCCGAGCTTCTGAAGCGACAGCGATCTCGGCAGCCTTACCTCTGAACAAGGGTTCCGAAGACAAGGCGGAGACATTTCTGCATGTTTTCAGTGCACAGCCATTTCCACTGCTGCATCACGAGCAAGAGGATCAGATCCAGGGCTATGTCCGCTAACTCGGTCTCCGTTCCTGGGGGACAAAAAAGCATTACAGGTAACTCAGGAGAAAGCCCCATGTCAGAAGTGTGCTTCAGGGGCCTGGGTCTCTTGAACCTTAGTGTGGACGACCATATACTTTTACAATCCCTCTGCACTGCGATCAGGATCTACGCATTGGTGTCCGGAAGTTCAGTGACTGCCCTGCACGCCTTCACAATTCTTTTATGTTCCTCATGTTGTCACCTAGTTTTTAAAAAATGCTTTACATGTAATTATTTTATTCATCTAGCTTCTGTTTCTCCTCTATTTCCTGGCATGAATTCATTCTATTCCAATAAGTGCTCCCACCTGATGACTAACTGGAACTGGCAAGGCTTCGTCCTTCCAGCCTCGCCTTCCACTCGCCCCCACAATGTACCACGGAAACGCCGTGGGCAGATCGGGGAAAGATCTGAGTTACAGTCTCCTGCAAGACTATCTCCATTACACACACCGTGGGGGCTGAGATTCAAGACGCTTTCCTTTGATTCTGAGATAACATGGTTCTAGGAAAAGCATCACACCTCCAGAAAAATGTCATGACATATACTGGTTTTGTCCCTATTTGGAAGATCTGAAGGGTCATGAATGAGCTCATCTCCATGCTAAGCTGGAGCTCCTGAACACATGTGTACGTGGAAAGAAGCGTCAGTCCTTTAAACTTGTGCCATGTGGATTTTCATTCGATCTCCTTTCCTAGAAACCCTGCCGGGAGTGCCTGACACCTCAAGTGAATGTGAGATGCTGGTCTCACTGCTCTGCTTGGTGTCACAACCACCAGTGTCTCTCAAAGTCCAAATCTCATGGGTGTGCTTCACCCACTGTGCCCAGGTGTTCATCCTTTAGAACAAGCATGCCTGCAGAGCTGCGTAAATGTGCTCGAGTGATTTCCACTTTCCTCTAAACCCCATTGAAAGAGGATTCCCTTCACCTGTACTGTACCGAGGGGCACAGGAGCTGATGAACCACCTTCTGGATATTTGCTCAAAACTGGGCTGTCTGGTTCCTTGAGAAATAGCCTCCCCTGCAATGTAATCATTTCTCAGTTCAAGCATCTGCCTGAAGCTGCCACCATGTGGCAACATTTGGTCATAGCAGTTTAAAAAAATTGAAGTAAACAAAGTACAGCTAAGCTGTCTTTAAGTAAATGTCTCTCACAGGAGCTTCTGGAATCATTTGGGCTGGAAGAAAGAAGTGCTAGGGCATAAATTCTCCCTTTAGAGGGATGAAACTTAAAATCTGTAGGCTTGATTTTGGGCAGAATGGTATTATTTTGGTCATTCTTTATATTTACGATGCCTTAGGAGTTCTGAGCTTCTTTCCCTGTCATGGCTCCTGCTTTACCTGACCAGTGAGCTACGCATGCAAACCCCACTTGTAATGTACTTAAATTGAGGGCCAAAGAGCAGAGGCCAGGTGATTTGTTCACAGGCCCCAGGAGAGAGCAGTGGAGTTGGCTTTTCTTGTTGTGACCTTCTATTCCCAGCAGAGGTCTCTGTCTTGGTAGAATCCACAACCCTTCTTCTTAAGCACACCAATTAATATTTAACCTGCCCTTCCTTTTCTGGGAAGCAAAGCTGCCCTGCCCCAAATACTCACAAGTGGAGAGCCCTCCCCTGCTCTGCTCAGGACTAGGTGGTATCTTCTGCCACAGCAGTAACTGACGCAGAAGGAACAGATCTGGGGGAAAGATGCACACCATGTCTCAGCTGCTCTACAGAATCCAGTAGATAGGTGTCAACAGCACATGTGTGATAGTAGAAGCCAGCAGTGTGGCCAGGATTATCCAGGGAAAATGTGCAGAGAACAAGCAGAGAGCCAAAACCGAACTTCCAGAAGGCTGATAAGGAAAAGCAGTGGAGCACAAGGGGACCACAAAAGAGACACAGAGAAATCCAGGAAACTGGTATCACAGACAGTGGGGAAGGATATTTACAGATATAGACAGCAGCCTCTTATGTCAGAGTGTGCCACAAATGTCTTAAATGAGATGCTGACATTACAAGCAGGGAGCAGATCCTGCTGCGTGGGGACCACTGGTGTCTGGACCCTGTTCTGCTCCAGCTGGCAGTGGGGTTGCATCCTCCTTTATCTCTATCCAGCACCTCTCAGGCTGGAGCTCGGCATACCACACGCTCAGCTGAACACAACAGAAATTAAAGCTACAAAGCTCAGTTCTCCAAGTCCTAGGCTCCTTTCTCCGGGGGAGCAGGGACCTCCCTACTTACCTGAGTCATTGCTGCTCAGGTGTTGGGCTGCAACAGTTGCACTGGGCAAGCAACTGTCCACATGTCCCTTGGGGATTTGTTCTGGGGCTCCTGCTGCCTGCATTTCCAGTACTTTTGTCTGCTTTTTAATAAACGATTCCATTCCGGACATGGACAGGATCTCTGACCCCTAAGGAAACAGGCAGAGGCACATGAAGAATGTGGACAGGAGGCAATGGATGTGGCACCCTAGGTTTCTGTATGTCTCACTTGCAAAAGAACTGTGGGCACAGACCTGCTGAATGAGCTATTCCAGGAAAGCTTCTCTTTACCCAGGTTGTAAACCCGCCACAGCACAGTCACTTCTGGACACACTCTTAGGTCTCTGTTCCCTTCCAGAAGTTGACTTTTCTTTCTGTCATTCATGCCACACTTAAGAAGCCAAGCTGACAACTCCAGACTGGTAGGAACTCAAAGTCAGCGGAGAAAACATGTTTAACAAAAATCTCAGAGGCAGACGTTATGCCCTTTAGCGGGACACAGAGCCCTCCTGATCGCAGAGACCATCTGACCTCCCATAACTGCACGGGCACTAAGCTACGTTCTCATCCTTGCAGCTCCCTGGGCTGCTTTGCTTCTTACCACATGGCTTTCCTGGAGGCAATAGAGAATCCTGTCATGTGCTTCTGTCACAGTCAGGGCTGGCGCAATTTTGCTGGATGAGAACCTCAGTCTGGACCTGGTACAGAAACACACAGCACACACAGCACAGTTCATGGTTTTGGCTGGCAGGTACCGGTAACGCATTAGGCACCAGACCTGGGACTTACTGTGCCAAGGGGCCAGGGAAGGCCGAGGTCCTCCCAGCAAGGCACCGTCTAGCCGTGCCTCTAGACGGAGCACCACTCTTCCAGTGGCAAAAGGCTTTTGCCAATAAAATGGGAACCAGTTGGTCACGGTCATATTTTCACAGGCTAGGAAAGTGGCAAGTGCATACCACGCACATTAAAAATTTGTTCAAGATTAAGTAAGTGGCACAGACTGAAGGTTTTTAGTAACGTTGCTGGTACTCTTTCAGGACAATCATTTATTCCTCTGTGTTCTACATAAAACTGGAGGGTGAGTTCCAAGTGATAAAGGTGTTTCTAGAAAAAGAAGATTCAGCAGTTCTGGCATCACAGTCATCGTTCAAACTCTGGGCATAATTTAAAAAGACCGAGCACTGTGGTCTGGTTCTGCTGGCCCTTAACATGGACAGAGACAGAGATGGACAAGGATAGTCAGTGCCCTGCCGTGTTCTCTCTCTGCCTCTTTGTAATGATCCAGATGCACATGAAATCTCCAGTAAGGCTAAGTGTGGTGCCCCTACCTTCCACATGCTGATGCGGGAGCTGCTGAGGAACAGCTGGAGCCTCAGTGTCTCAGCGAGAAGCAGCCGTCACCCAGTTACTAAAACAGGCCCTGCGGGTTTCCATTCTAGCCCTTTCCTGTTTATTGCTAGTGTATGCAATTTCTGAGCCAAGTATTCCAGAAATGATGGCAAAAAGAGATGGTTCTAAGCATTAATTCTTAGTGGAAAAGAAACATTTTGGTTTCTCAGGAAAACAGAAAAGAGGACATCAATATTCTAGAGTTTTCCTTCTTGTCACAACTCTGTGGTCACCTGGGGCCCTGGTTCCTAAGGCAAGAGCAAGCACTCAGGGCACTGCCCTTGCAGCATGTGAGTGCCCTGGTGGAGCACCAAGGCACCCTGGTCTCACTTTGCCTAAGAGCAGGTACATCAGACCTCCCTCTTCTCTTCCACATGGGTGGGGCCTGCAAACAGAATCGAGCTTGGCTCAGGGTTGGGATCAACCTGAGAATTGGGGGAAGGCTCCCAGATCACCAGAGGGCTCCTCACTTGCTGGCCTTCTTGCCTTCTGTCTGTGGCTTGCTCTCATTCTCGGCCTCACTCAGCTCCTCCGTGGGGCTCTGGGGCTCAGAGCGAGGAAATGCGGTCTTCAATGTGTCCACAATGGCACTCACCACCATCTGCAGGGCCAGAGGGGCGGGTCAGTCAGTGCGCTCAGTCCCCAGAAGGAAAGCAACCCACCGCAGAACAATCACCTCACTGTGCTTTGCGCAATAGGACAGGCATGGTGCCAGGCCACCAAGCTCAGCCTTCTCCACCAGCAAAGTCAACACCACTCAATGACAACAATCCTCCTTCCTCTGTGGCCATAAAAATCTCCTTATTGCAGAGTAAGACAAATAATGCAACGGAGAAAGCAGCCAAAACAAATCATGAACTAAGTAAAAGCCAACCTGGAAGTTTTTTAGGCTGGAGAATGCTTTTCATGTTCAGTTTTTTCCCCCCTTTTTACATTAAAAGGTGATATCGAGTCATGGAGCAAAGAACTCTTTTTTTTTTTTTTTTCCAGTCCACAGTTTCTTTAGGTACAAAACATAAATATCATTCAGGTCAAAATTCAGGTATTCTGGAGTTAATATTAACTTTGGTACTACCAGGAGAAAACCTAATAATCTTCAATGAAGAATGAGAATGGTCTCTACTTCTCAGAATGAGAAAATAACACACATTTACTTCAAAAAGAAAACATACAAATAAAGTCCTCAACTATCAAGAAATGGAAGGAAGCCCTTCCTGTCCTTGGTGCCTCTTGCCAACGAACACTGCTAGCAGAGAGCTGTCCCAAGGCTCTGTTTCCTTGTTCAGTCACGGTCTCCCCCAGGGGCATGATCAGCACGTGTAGGACAAGGCTGAATGTCACCGAGCCCACTGGGGATGCCAGGGAGAACACAGCAGGTCAGGTGCAGAGGACTGCATCAGCACACAGATACTGGGAGGACACAACTTGCTCTCCAGGCTCCAGAACTACAGACTGTGGGCGGTCTCCACGTGTCCCATTTACTCCTGCATCACTGGTGAGTAACGCAGGTATCCACCTGGGAAACACTGAGCTGGTGAGCACACACTCTGCACAGACTCTGATAAGCTCTGTCCAGTGTGTGGTTTTTCCCATAGCAGCGGATGCCCCCCGATGCCTGCCCTGTGTAGTGGATGTCTCCTGACATCTGTCCTATGTAATTTTATTTTACTTTGCTCCTCCAACCCTAGATGAGAAGATGGAGGCCCCTCCTCTTCTGCCAGTGTTTCTCATCCAAGTAAGTACATGGCTGTCTTCTACTGGACACAAACCTCAGGATTCTTCCTTGGAGATGCGATACCAGCTGGTCAGTACAGTTGACATGTGCGGGTGTGCTGCACAGATGTCCTAACATCTGCAGGTGCTGATATATTTTTATGAAGAAGGTACAGCTCTCTGCACACTGTCTCCGGCAGAGAAGCATCACATCATCTAAGTCTGCTTAGTGTTCTGTCTGTGGGCTCCCCTTCCTGAAGAATCAATGCGGGAATCCCTTGTCTATGGAGGCTCACATGTCCCCTTACATACTCCCTCTAAGAGACAATATCAGGTTCCTGGAGGAGCAGAGATTTCATACACTTATAGAATTAGGGTTCTGTCTACTAACAGCTGCTCACTAGGATTCAGCAAGTTGAAGACCTAACCACTATTTGGCAAAAGGTCTTAAAAGTTCTAGTACATGTTCTATTGCGTGTACCCCATGTTCTAGCTCCCTGACTTTCCAAGCCCAAACTCCACTCAGCAAACATGCCGCATTTACAGCATAAGCTGTGTAGTGGCCCTCCGGGTACCTTGTCTATCCGAGACACCATGAACGGTTTCTTCACAAAGGCGATACGAGCATCAGTGTTCAGAGCAAGGAACTCCTGTACCTCCTCACTGTTAGCAATCTCAGGAATGGCACAGAGTTGCTGCAAAAATAAGACAAGAGGGTTTTAATAAGCAATTTCAGTCCCCACATCTCTCTTTGTTACCTTGGGCAGGTGCCAGTCAGAATGAGAGCAAAGCTAGAAGAGAAGATGCTGACCTTCAGGAATGATTCCAGGAGGCTTTTCCGGGCTTCTACTCTGTCACTGTCCATGTTTCCAAAAGGAAGATCTGGAAAGAGCTTTTTTGGACCCTTTACATCTTCAAAACAAAAATGAGATTCATTCATTATACATTCACAAAAAGCTTATTAATTAAAAATACAGAAAGTGACTACTGACTATACTGAGTATATTTCCCTGGGATTTTTCACTTAACTTCAGGAGTTCCACATATACCCACAGGGATATGACAAATGCAAGGTACTCCTATCACTGCCAAGTGTAACAATGGCTATCAAAGTGAGGGCTCTGAGTCCAGTGGAGCTACTGGACTAGTTCTAGTGCTACTGTAATAATGATCTTTCTGTGACTTTATTTTCTATAGAGTGGGATGGTACCTTGGTTCTCCCAAAGGAAGTCCTAGAAAACTGAAAATCAAAACAGCAGCCCTTGCCAGCCTCTCCGGGCTGGGCCTGCCATCTCTCTCACTCCGTGGCTACTCTGCAGCTGCCTGCGGCTGGCATTTTCGATCTCTGGTTGTCACAGCTGACTATTTTCTGGCTAGGTCTTATTTTCAGGGAGAGAGGGTGGCAGTTGTCTCACAGGTTGTGAGGATGAAACCGAGCAGGTGTCAGGTGTTTAGAAGAGAACCCGTTAGGAACGAGCTCAACTTGGTATTAGATGTTGTTATTAAGACAATAAATGTGTAACATATGCCCAAACCTACTAAAATGTTTATGTGGGTGATTGACATTTTTACAAACAAAGTAACGAGTTATTAGCTTATTCTTAGAGTTAAATTTATACCATTTTCTTTTTTCTGTGCTGTGAAGATGCTGAACAGCATAAAAAACTTGTGGTTGTTAAAGGAAAGGAAGTGATGAGGATTTCTGGGTAACATTTTAATATTTGAAAATTATCAATCTATGGTTCTGAGAAAGTTTAACTGCTCACTGTCTCATGGGCACAGGCAGAAAAGTGAATTTTAAGCTTAAAGGGGTTTAGTGCCAAGGACAGACAGCCTCAAGAGGGACAGGTCAGAACTGTCCATCACCTAAACCTTGAAACTTCTAAGTAAGACCTGGGGAAGAGAGAATCCTAGTTCTGTACTCCCACCCCAAAATCCCGCCACACATTCAGGTCAGGGTGGCACCAGGGTGGATGCTGACTTTTGATGAACTTCCGCAGATCTGGTTTCTCCTCCAGACGGGTCTGCAGGTTCAAGAACTCCCGGTAGCGGCGGTTCACGGTGTGGTAGGCCAGCTGCTGCAGGCCACTGCTGCCCTCACTACTGTGCAGGGCGGTCTCGTACTGTTGGAGGAACAGAGAGCTGCTGACTGATGAGCCGTGTCAAGGACTTCTACTCAGGTGCTGAAGACCACTTACTCACTGGCACACAGTAACAGCGAGTGGACCTCAAGAGAGGCAGAAGAGGTCCCCGCCCTGCTGCAAACCTGCTACATCTGAGTGGAACAGCTCAAACTCTAAAAGCAGCTGACTTAAAGAATGAAATCTACTTTCTGATATATTCAGCCCACAAAGTCAGAAATGAGTTCACTGCTCCTGCTTTGGCCATGCAAAAGCTTCCTCCCGTCAGATACGAGCCTTTATTTACAGAAATGGCTATATCACTCTTTTTTAATCTTAAAGATCGAGAGTAAACCAGAAGGCATATTAGCCATAAAAATGACATTTCTATCATTTTTAAATTACAGGCAGGACCTTTTAAGGGGAAAACCATTTTGCCATTAACTCAGCCAGTGATGGTATCTCTTAAAAGCAGGAAGAGCAAACGATTTCAAACAGCAGATGGGTAGAAGTCATTTGTTTGCTTGGAATGAATTAAAGGACATGCATTTTTGTTTTGCTTTGGGCAGATTTATCTTCCTAAATATTATTCCTAAAAGTAAACTGAAATTTTTCCTAAGTATAGGGTACCTAATGTTTGCATCAAGTCACATGATGAGCAGAGATGCGGTTACAGGATCTGCGTCCCCACCCTCCACATGCCCAGAGGACTGCCTGGTTCCTCGTGTGCTGCTGGAAGACTGTGCACCCTGAATAAGGAAGCCGGGGCTCAGTACAGGCGCAGGAGCTCAGATATAGTGGGAGAACTCTGTGCGTGCCGACTCTTACTAGGAAACGGTTGGTTAGTTATTGTTTGGCAGTACTGTCCTGCGACCATGACGGAAACAACTATTTCCTTGTTGGCTGGACTTCAGGCTGGTGCACAAAAATTTTCCAGAGGTAGAGAGGGCGATGTATTCACAATGAGCTGAGGTGCGTCAAGGAGTTTCTCAGACTAGTATGGAAAGGAAAGACAGACAGGCAGAATTTGGGGGAGGGGGACTCTCATCCTTGGAGTAGCTGAGAATTATGATGCTCTCTCTAGGATATTCTGCTCCTTGAGAGAGAAGAGTTAATTCTCATGTGTTCACTTCCATTATATAAAGGGAAGATTGTTTCACTATGAGATGTGTAAATGACATCGATATATAATTTAGAACCATGTCCACATGGAAATTTAAACCCAATCTCAAACTATGCACAACTGGCTATGTGATTTTGTTACTCACTGCTCATCTGCCCTGTTCTAATCTATTAGTATATGTTTGCAGTATTAATGATTACATTTATTCTGGGGAGTTGGTACTTGTACCTAACGCATCTTAATTCCTTCTTTTGAGCCCCCCCATCCCAATTTCTGGGTGCTGTTACTCTTAGCAAAAGATCTCAATTTCTTATCATTCATCATTTCATTTGTTCTTCATTTGTGTTTTGGGATTCTCATGAGACCATAATGTTAACTAAAATGAATCGGACACATTTTGCCTTTTCTAATGCCAACGTTAAATAGGTAGCGATCAGTGTCAAAATCTGCAGTAAAAGAGGAGCAATAGATAATAGGAAAAAGACAGATCTAAAAATTTTTATCAACTTCATTTTTCTACTGATGAGGAAGGAAAACTGTCAATTAATACAATGTTGGAACAACCAGAAGCCAACAAGAGAAAGTTGCAGGTCATCTGGAGTTAGAAGAACAAAAAGGCAGGCAAAATGTTAATCAAGATACACCTATGCTTTGAGGTTAGCCTGAGTTATTCATGACCAGATATCTATACTTCTAAAATCTACCTATTTTATAATGAGTGTGTATATGTGTGTGTGTGTGTGTGGAGAGGCATGTGTGTGCACACTTCTTTCTAATTATTTCTATTGTTTTAACTTAAAAAATATGTCATAATGTTGTTTTTTTTTTTTTCAAAATGTTAAATCATGATGCAGCTAAGTTCAACAGACTAGGGAAAGCACTCTTTCTTTTAACTAGACTGGGATTTTACCAGGAGGAATGCAGTAACCACACCTGTGCTCATGTTTGGACTCTGAAAGAAATGCAAGAAGGCAAGTAAAATCCAATAGATAGGGTCCTGCCCAGGAATCCTCTCACCAAAATTCTTCCTTCCTACTTTCTTTTGTTCTTTTAAAAAAATATTAAAATCTTTTGTACTTTATTTTGGGAAGGCAGAAGGTACCCCTTCAGAGGGTACTGTAAATTCCTTATTCCCAGAGATATTCAAGCACAAATTTGGAAACCACTGGGCAGAGAAGCTATGAAAAGGGCTGGTTAGATTACAGCAGATCCTGCAAAATGCCCTCTATGTTACCTCCACATTCTACTTTCAAAAATATATATAATCCTGGAATTCATCCTTTGAAATTCTCATTCAGAATCTTTCAATCTGTCAGAATTAGTATACCACATTTAAAAAGCAGCCTAAGCAATTATGAAACACAGTTGAGTTTTGGAACCACTGAAAACTGTGACCGCCAATATTCTAACAATCCTGAGCTTCTGGGTTTGTTTGTGTGGGTAAAGAATAAGTCTACTCTGCTTTACAAATTAATTAGCTTCAGCCCATCCACACATGCTTGCTGAATTAAACACAGCAAAGAGCTGTCTCCCCTGAGAACATTCACTGAGTACTCTCCAAACCCACTCCCAGCCCAGAGTGGGTGCCCACAACTCTAATCCAGTTACCTTCACAGTATAGAGTGTGTATGGGTGGAATCCAGTGCCACTGTGCTCTCGGGCGGTGATGGTGCCAGTAATACGAAGGTTCTGGATGACAACCGGTCCATCTGGACTGCTCAGGGGCTCAAAGCTGAAGGTGCCTGAGCTGAGAGGCCCAGTTGGAGAGGAAGAAAGTGAAACCTGTGGCAAAGTAGGATCCAGGGAACTCACAGCATCAGTGAGATCCTTCTCTAGGCACGAGGGTCGTGGGGGGCAGGTTTTTTCTGGTGTCTCTGGTAAAGCTGTCAGAGCGGTAACATCCGGTTCTACTTCCTTTTCTACACTGTCAATCTGGATTTCTGGGCAGGAATTTAGCATGGACTCCAGCAGACCTGACTCTGTTTCTGTCCCTGGAACCTCCTCAGCTTCTGCTCCTTCAGTGCCCTCAGATCCCTCACTATCCTTAGGCTCCAAAACCTGAGACTCTTCTAGGGCACACAAGGCATCCTGGATTCTGTGAGACAGGAAGTTGCCCGGAGTCATTAGCATGATAGTTTCTTTACCCAGTTCAGAGAGGGGAGACTCCAGCTCTGAGTCTTCACATAAGAACAAGGGGCCTCGGATATTTGGATGTAGAAAATGAGATGAGTTGTTTCCTACTTTTCTTTCTTCAAGCATTCCACCCAAATCTGCCTCTATAGCTTCATGACCTTCTTCAATCTCAGGGGAGGGGCCGGCTTCACTGGAGTTCAGAAGCGATGTAGCTGCTCCAGGAGAGGGGGCTCTCCCTTCTGGTAGACTGTCCACTTCTAGAATCAGTGGCAGTGATGTGGGCACGGAGGGCTGCTCCAGATCACCAGGGGTGCATAATGGTTTAGTTGCTTGTTTGAGATCATTTCTGGCCCTGGAAAAGATACTTACAAGTATAAGGTGGATCCAATCAGGATCTGACAACTTGTTGATCAGTGGTAAGATTACATTGCAAGTAATGAGTTCGACCACTACATGCCGTCCAGTCCTAGTATCCAAGTGGGGCTTGGGTACCAGACCTTTAAGTAACAAATTCACAACGCTACGGGTATATGTGACCTCGGTGGTAGGGTTATGCAGAGCAGGGTGGGGGGCAGTAGCCCGGCAATATGCCTCCCAGAGCTCAGAAGGTGGAACTGGACCACTCTGCTTCCCTTCAGTGGCCTCCTTTGCCTGAATATAGCTTTGCAGGTGACAACCGCAGAGGGTCAGAACCGTCTGGGTGAGAGCACGGCTGTCCACCATGCCCATTCTCCTCCGAAGCTCCTGTACCAACCCCTTCATGGCCGCTTCTATCTCTTCCTTAAAGGCTGACTCCTGGCTCACTGAGTGATACCAGGATAACACAAAATCACGAGTAATCATCTGGATAGTGCGGTTGATCAGGAGGTCCAGCTGTCTTTCTGCTTCGGGACACGGAGGGCAGGAGGGCACCGAGATGAAGCGTTCCAGGTGCAGTCGACCCGAAGCCCCTACAATGGCACCGGAGCCTAGCCATCCTCCCAGCACCACGAACAACGCAGAGAGAAGGCACAGAAGCCACACGTTGACCAGGAGGTGGATGACCAGGAGCCAGCCGAGCAAGACCCCCACAACCATCAGCTTCCGGCCACTCCATAGATTACTGGGGTGACAGCTGGACTCCGCTTGCGTCTCCTGGGTGGGAAGCCCGGTCTCTGTCTTCATGGCTGAAAGAAGGAAGGTCTCCGGAGGTCAGTCTTTTTCAAACTCACTTCAGTGGCAAGGAAGGAGGAATGGACTGCGATCCTGACAGGAGGGAATGGGCTTCTGTGCTGATATCAGAATGACCGGGGCTCGGGGCTGTCGGCGTCCCACAGGTACTACAAAGCGACAGCGGCAGTCCGTTCCCGCCGGGCGCCGTCCCCAGCGCCCTCCGCCAGCCGGCGCCAGCGGGGGAAAGGCCGAGCCGCAGCGCAGCGCGGCGGCGCCCCGGGAGCGCGGAGGGCGGTGCCGAGACGCTCGCGCTCGCGGTCAGCGGCGGCCGGGGAAGTGGCGCATGTCGCCCGGGCCTTCGCGCCCAGCTCGGCCCGGACCGGACACATTGGTGACCCCACCCACGGCTTCGGCCCGCAACGACGCAGGCTCAGGCGGCTCAGGAGGCCTCGGTCCCCCAAAGCTCCTCGCCTGCTGTCCGGGGACAGCTTCCGGGTCGCGGGCGCGGGGCATGCTGGGAGGGCGGCCGCGCATGAGCGCGGTGATGCTTCCGCCCCCTAGTGGCAAGGGGCTGGTGGTGACGCTGCGGGCGCGCCTGTGTCTTCCACCCTCAATCTATGCTCTCAAAGGCTGGTTGCGATTCCCAAAGTGTCTTGCGGCCTTGCCACGAGACCCGCAGACCCAGACTTCTGCTGGGGCGCCTTTAAAGTTTGCTTTAGCTCTGGTTATTGCGTGCCCTCTACCCGCATCCCTTCCAGCTTGGAAGAGGGTAGAGACGATCCAGTTAATGCCACTCACACGGGGTGTACACCTTTCTTTTGCCAGGTTGATTTTAGCATCCACCGGCTCCCTCCAAGCATCTGTCCCCTTCCTTTCTTGGTTCCCAGCTCGTCTTTCTTGTTCTCTGCAATGGCAAACTCCAAGTCATAAAACATAATACAGAGACAGGTTTATTCCTTAAACTTCATGGACTGCATCACAAAATCAGGTTTGTGATTTGGGGGTTACTAATGGCACTACCTGAGAGGTCACATACGTGAAGCTTCTGCGGGGCACTGTTACTGTGGTGGGTAGCACGGAGGAATGGAAGCTGTCTTTGTCCTAATCTCCTGGGGCGAACTGAGGGAATACATGACAAGCACATAAAAGGGTAGTTAATAAAGCGAGTCTGTAGAGGATACAGCAAAAGGCTAAATCTTACTGGTATTTGGGGGAAGGAAAATCACTGTGAGTTGCAGTGGTTACGGGCATCCTGTAGAAAAGGTAGCTTTTATTCGGTTCCTCAAGAGTGAGGGATTCTTTCTGTTCGTCGTTGTTTTCTTTCTCTCTCCCCCAAATGCATAGCAAAAGAAGGCAAAGGTGGAGATGTGTTTTTAGATAATTTGTAGTGTCTTTGGTTTGTTCTCTATATTTGATTGTTTTGAGGTTTAGTGTTACACAAACTGAATTACCTATAGGAAGATTAAATGTCTGACAATAGAACTGAACATGTGTACATGCATTTGTGTCCCTTGGTGTGAAGCCAGCTTCTTTTCTCTGTTGTAGTCTTTAGAAATTCTGTTTGCAATGCAGTTGTTCTCTTTACACTAGCACAGGACATATATAATTGTCACAGAGCTGCTCCCAGTCGCCTATGCTCAGCATACTCTACTCTGTCAGAAGCCTTTTGTCATGACAGCGCCACTCCCTAGATGGTTAAAGGAATCTTCGGTCAAATTCCAGCTAAAACTGTGCCAACAAGAAACATATTGCAGCTTCTTCTGGCATTTCAATTTCTACTCCTGGTTCAAAGATCTGTTTTTAATGCAAAATGAGCCATCCCTTAGATGTGAGGAGTGGTTCATGACTGACTGCTTCTACAGCAAACAGTGCAGTGTAGGACCAGTGTCCAGTAAGAAGATGCCAACATCCCTGAAATCTCAGAATGCCAGTTCATACTTCCACTGCACACTCCACTGCTACTCAAGGCCCCACAAAAAAGGAACATCAGAAGTGGACACTTCCTCTCTTTGTCCTTCCAGACCATTCCATTGTTCTTGGAAACAGTTAAGATAGCAGTGCCCTAGAAAAGTATTTCTGCCACCTAGTTGGGAACTAAAACACATAAGCAAATTATGGAGGAACTAAGGGTGCTGCTGAAGACCTTTCATGGCAGCTGAGAGAAAGTTTTCAGTGAAGCAAGATCCGGAATGTTCAGGGTAGTCGGGACTGACCTTGTAAGTGGGCGCGATGCCACCTGACCAGATGGTCTGGAGCACTGAAGTAGCCAAGAGTGTCTTCCTGATTCTGAAGCAGATTTGATAGACATGCCAATGCACTTGTCATTTGGACAGGCATGAGTTTCTGCCTAGGGGTCTGGGATATTTAGTCTCCAAACAGATTAATCACTAGGAGGAAGTGAGAGCCATGACTGATGTGCAGTGGTGTGTGTGTGTGCACCTGAGTGTGGTGTGGGGATGCTGTCTGGCCACACCACTCATCCTTTTGTGAGGTCCTGCCTTCTTGTCTTATCATTTTGGGTAATATTAAATGCTTAGCTCTAGAGTGTTGGGGATACCAAGATAAATAGGCATGTTATTCATTTTACCCTATTTAAAGAAGAGATATACAGAAAGAAAATTGTAATTAGAGACCATCTCACATTTAACATGATGTGCTATGATTTTGGCAATAGAAATGTGTACAGTAGAATGGAAACACAAAACAGGAATGGTTAATTGGGGAATGGGTGGCTAATAAAATGTTTACTCATTCATAATAAAATAGAGATAAATTGAATATATTTTACAAAAATATGGAGCTGAGAGGGGATAGGTAAAGGAGATGGGTTCTTTAGGTAGCAGCATGCAAGTGAGACAGGGACAGGAGAGCAAATGGCACTGTGATAAGAGGCCAGACTATAATCAGCTCTGCTCAACTGCAATGTTCTCTCAAAAAACCAAAGCCATGGAAACTTCCTACAGGGTGGTTCAGTGATGTGACAGGTGAGTGGAGAAGAGGTGACGGTGCACGCTTGTTCACATGAAGGCAGAAGGGGAATGAATGGTGAGGTGGGAGAAGGCAGAGGGACTAAGGTTACAGGTCACGGATTTGTAATGGCATCGGTGGAGACCGAGGAGTGATTTTCTCCTGAGTGTTTTCAGTATAGGAGAGAAGGAAGCAGTACATGAGCTCTTGTCTCCTGGAGATGATCAGGGGCAGATGAAAAGGTAGATAAATGATAAATGGTTAAGACCTTGATATCCTGAGAAAAGAGGCACTAGAATTATAAATTATGGTGTCAAAGAAAGGAAATAAAGCCATAAAATGTAGCAAATTGTAAAATAGGGTTAGGAGTACTGGGGAGAACTGTTTCTAAGATGACAATATGTAATCTATTAACTAGTGATTTCTTACTGTATATTTTTTTCTTGAAATTCTGTACTACTTGTACCCTTTTACTGCTTTTTTTTCTCTTTAAATAAAAAATTCTTCATATGTTCTGAAAAAAAAGAAAGAAGTGAGCAGAACAAAGGTTAATGGTTATGGATAGATATACAGAGCCTGTGTAAGTATCCTAATGCTATGTCACCAAATTGCCACCAACTTCGTGCTTTCCAGAAATACAGATTTATTGTCTTCCTGTTCTGAAAGTCTGAACTAGGTTGGCAGGGCTGTATTCCTTGTGGAGGCCAGAGGGGGACAATCTGTTTTTCTGTTCTTTCCAGCTTTTAGAGGCCACCTGTGTTCTTTGGCTTGTGGCCCTACATTGCTCGAGGCCCTGCTTCTGTTGTTACATCTCTTTCTCACTCTGAATCTCCTGTCTTTCTTTTATAAGGACCTTTGTGATGACATTGGGCTGCCTCCTATCAGTCAGGGTAATCTTCCCATCTCAAGATTCTTAATGAAGAATCTGATCTCTGCCATTCTGAGATGAACAGAGACCACATTAACCCACCCTTACTGCTGTACTTGTGCACTCATTGTAAATGCATAATCATGGGTTGATAAGGCCTAGTAATCATAGCTGCAATCCATAACTCCCATCATGACTCAGCCTTGTGATTGACAAGTAACAGAGAATCACTCTACATTCTAGAGCCTTGTCCCTGATGAATAACCCTACCCTTTTCATGGGATCCACCCCTCTTATCCACTCCTATAAATGCCTTATAGCCTGTATGAGAGTAGCCTGTCTGGTTTCTAGTGCTGGAGTCGTCTCTCTGCAGTTTATTCTGAATAAACCTGTCCTGTGAGCTTCTTTTCCTTTTTCCTAACACTTAAGACTATTTGCCAAGTAAAGCAACATATTCATAGATTTTGCGGATTAGGATGCAGACATAGCTGGAAAGGGGGAATATTATTTGGCCTATACAGAGCCTAAATATTTAGAGATGATCAAGTCTGGCTGTGGACAAATAAGTTCCCCAAGTAGGCTATGTACAATATGTTAGGGTAGAGGAAGAAATTTTGAGTCTATGGTTCTTGAGAACGATATTCTACCTGGGCTTCAAAGTCATCAATACAGTGAGTACCTGATTTACAAACGAGTTTCATTCCAGGAGGATGTTCATATGATGGATTTGCTCATAAACCTGTCCAAAGACTTATACACCTTTGACACAAATTTACAGTGTAAAGCATAAAAAGCCAAATGCAAGGTCTGTCCATATCTGTGACAGTTCACAATTAGAATGTTCCTAAATCAAGGGCCTTCTGTATCAGGGTGCAAAAGTTCCCAATAAATGAAAATGACAGAAGGCTGATAAGTGAAGTAGTAAGTAAGTTAGTAGCAACATAGGAAGTGGAAGTTTTGAATAAGTTGGAAAATGAATTATCTGAAGTTGACAGAAAATGTATGATATTCCCAAGAATGGTTCCACATCCTGCCTCAAAGGCAGCGATGGAGAAAAATCGGCCGCCAGGGGGCAGCAGGAAACAGCGTTTAAGGAGCCGAGGCTTCTCCAATAATTCGCATATCAGCTCAGTATCCATCCATCCGTCCCACAGGGACTAACCTGAGGATTGGGAATTCAGAGATGGACTTTATCAGGTTTTGGTTCTTAAAAAGTCTTCGTCGAGTACAAGAGACAGACACAGATGCAATGCAAGTAGAGCTGTAATGCAAATATGTCAGAACACGGAAGTGCAGATAAATAGGGAAATTTGTACAGAAGAAATGACAGGGGAGTTGTCTGTGAAGGATGCGTTAAACTTCTCCTGGAGACAAGAGGAACGGGTCGTTCTGAAAGCGAGGAAAAGGCCTGGAATGCTGTGTAAGCTCTTCTGCTAGCTTGCAAAGGGCTCACAACAAATTTCTATAGACAGAGTGGTTTCAACAATGGAAACTTTCCTCACAGTTCTGGAGGCCGGAAGTCCAAGATCCAGGTCTGGACAGGTCTGGCTTCCCTGTTCTCTCCCCTCGGCTTGCAGTGGTGGCCTTTACAGATCCTCACAGCCTCCCCCAGCAGCCCTTGCTGGTGTC